TATTTTTTAATATTTGCAAAATAAAAAAATCGGACAAGTGCGAGTTACACTCGCATTAAAACCGAGGGTTCCGTACCCTTAAACCTAAAATTTAAGGGGTTAAAGTGTGAAGGCATGTGGAAAAATTCCAATTTTGGTTAATTTTCCCTGTAATGTGAGCATAAAAACACATAGCTAGACACATAGTCACATATAACGAAAATTATCAGTTTTTCCTTAAAAACGCTATGATTATCAACTCCAATCATGCTCACTATATTTTTTTTGTAATCTATACGTAAAAATTTATAAAAATGTATAAGTTTGAAGCCCATTAGATAATATTTTCTTTGTTTTTTGAAGAAAATTCATGATTTCTATAAAAAATTATCAGTTTTTTCTTAAAAACTCTATGATAATCAACTCTAATCGTTCTCGCTATATTTTTTTTGTAATCTACACGTAAAAATACGTAAAAATGTATAAATTTAAATTCCTTAAGATAAAATTTTCTTCTTTTTTTATTCGAAAAATCCATGATTTTTTCTAAAAATATGAGTTTTCCTTAAAAACAATATGATTATCAACTCCAATCGTGCTCGCTATATTTTTCCTGTAATCTACACGCAAAAATACGTAAGTATACCAAATATGAACTGTCTTGGTCAAATAGTGTGTGCGCTAGGTGGATTAAACGCTTTTTTTCAAAATTTTTGATTTTTCCTTGACAACGCTATGTAAATTAATCCGAATCATGTTCGCTATATTTTTCCTGTAATTTTCACGTAATAATAATTTCTTTATAATAAATAAATTGTCACTATTTCACTAAATACACAAATTTTATCACATATTTTCACAATCACTACCGCAATTTATTTCTGAAATTCATTTTTTTTATTTTCACAAATATATCCGGATGATATTGCCTAAATATGTATTTTTAACAATTTAGAAATATTTCATTTCGATATTTCTAGAATTTTAATGAATAATCTTTTCAAAATATTTCACTTAAAAATTTGTAACATATTTCATTTTTTTATTTTGCAAATATTAAAAAATAATATGTCAGTAATTTTTCATCCTCACATTTCCTCAACATTTCGCTGAAATTTTTCGTACAATCGGAACTGCAATATTTCTTATAGGCGGACATTTCATTGTTGCATCAAAATTTCATGGACCTTTCATTGAAATATTTTGAATCTTTCAATGAAATATTCAGGACAAATTCAGAAAATTTTATGTGCTGTGTGGGATGTTTCTGAAAAGTGACTATTTCTCACTACGTTTTATTTTTTTGTAAAAAGGGTCCTAAGAGAGGTACCAAGGCCACTCAGACCCACCATATAACTCTATTATGTTAAGAAAGCCATTAAATTTGTAAAAAAAGTATTTTCGATATTTTTGGTATTACTCATATGAAAATGAGATATTTGGAAGATTCAATTTTTCAGGATTCTAGACATACAAAAAATTCTAAAAATAGTTAAAAATTAAAAAATTGAATAGTTAATTTCTATGAAAATTTTAAATATGTATTTCAAATCCTCAGGACAATTTTTTTTATTCCTTTCAAACCTCTTATTTACTTTTACCCACTACAATTTACCTTTTGTATATATTCCCTTCTTTCAATAGAAGGGTCCTTTCGAGGGTCCTTCAGGTTTTATGACTTTTTAACGCAAAATAAAAAATTATTTAAATTTAAAAAAATATTTTTTTAAATGTTATATTTGTAATTATTAGATTTTAACGATTCCAATCATATAAAACTTTATGCAAAAACTTTAAAATTTCATAATGATTATACAACAATCTACTCCATTAATTAAAATTAATTTTCAATTATTTAAAAATATTTGCAAAAAATTATATACCGTTGTAATTGTATTAACATGTACATTACAAATATAATATTTAAAAATTATTTCTTTCAAATGCAACAATTTTAAATTTTGCAATGAAAAGCCATAAAACCACAAAAGATACTTCTGGCCTATACTTTTTTTGTCCTTTTCTAACGTACGTATTATATACATGAAACCCCGTTTATAGTCAACTAGTTTCCTTACATTTAGTTATAAGAAAGCAACTTATGTTGAAAACCTATTTTTCCCACTGTGTTGACTGAATATATATATTTGAAAAAATTTAGAAATCGCTTGCTATTTCACATAAAAGTTCATTTTTTTACAACTAGATGAGCAAAAAACTTCTGGTCTCTTGTAAAATAGAATATATGAATTGATCGCTCAATCAATTTGTGAGCGAATTTGATCAAGTTTTCACTCAATATAAATTTGATTTAAACCAAATATTGGATCTAATTATAGTCCAGTATGCTAAAAAGAGAAATTAAAATTAGTAATTATTTAGTTGATTTGTAGAAGAATTATGTTAAATTAAATTTTAATAATATAGTAATTAATATATGCATATTAAATAATTCTCATCATTATAAATAATTATAATAGTAAGGAATGTGCTCAAACTTGAGCGAATAACCTGATAAAATTCGCTCCGCTCAGAGTTTACTTAAGACAATCCGACAGTATCTTATTAATCTAGACTATCTTATTTCTATTACACATATTCTTTTAAATTCGAATTCAAATAATATTTACATACAATTTTTTTGTTTAATTAAATATTTGCTAATGAAAATTTTATTATTTGAATACATTAATATATGATAATTTGACTAAAAATGTTTTTTGATCAATATAACAATATACCTATTATAACTTTACTTGTTAATTTTTAAAAATTATAAAAATTTTTAAAATTATCATAATAATCAACAAAATATGTTGATAAAATTGAAAAAAAGTAATAAGATCTTTTATTTTTATAAAACCGAATTCTGCTTTTACGATCACAGTTAGGTTAGTTAGCTCACGGGTTAGGTATTCGGTTTGCGTTCGTTAGGTTGTGAGTTCGATTCCCTGCATTTGCGAGATTTTCTTCGATAGGGATAAATAAATATAATAAATTGTAAAAATAATAATTGGGTATGTGTAACGTAAAGATAAAAAAATGTTGTACGATAAATGATTTTTATTTATTTTTTTAATTAAAAAATATTGATTTCTTTAAATTTTTAAATATTTGTAGTCAGAATTCATGAGAAGTAAGTCAGGAATCGTTAAAACTATTTTATAGAAAGAAATGTCATTTAACATCACATATAGTCACAGGGTTTAATGATTTATGGTATGGCCAAAAAAGGGTCAGCTCCGACCCTCATAAAAAATCTGACTACTATTGACGATTCTCTGACTAAACCTCACTTATTGTGGTGTTCTGTGACTGCAATCGTAACAAAAACAGTCTCAAAACGTCAGAGATCCTGACTAATTTTTTGACGTTGTGTGATTTAATTTTAGCAGGGTAAACTTATGTCTTTTTACTATGAAACTTGTCTATGCTGATAGTTTGTCATGTAGCCCCTTATAGTATACTTATTACACCGTAAATGCAGCCGCGCATTTTTAAGAAAGTTATGAGAAATCAAAAATAAAAAATCATTAAAATTCTCCAAAAAAACATAAAAAATAATGTTTTGCTCACAGTTAAATTGTAACTAAAAACCGGGAGAAATCGATCATTTTTACCGGGAGAAAACCGGGAGATAAAAAGTCTAAAAATAGTGGCCACCCTGATATATGTAAATATACCCAAAGATTTTATATGCTAATTAATGAAAAGAAAAAATTCAATACTGCAAGGTTTCAGTCGTCACACCCCACCAGCAAACAACTGTGAGTGACACAGAATAGCAAAATAGTACTTGAGTAATACATTGATTCACAATTTTTTTAAAAGAAGGTTTATTTGAAATTTAAGAAAAAAATTAAGTTTTTTCCAATTCTGATCTTTTTGAAATTGGTTTCTTTGGTCACGAAAAGAGCATTTCTTAATTAATTACTCTAAAGTCATATATTAACAGAAATGGGATCAGCACATTATTGAGTCAAATTCTATTTTTTGTATAAAAAAAATAAAAAATTTATTAAATGTGTTAACACGTCAGGGATCACGCCGTAAGAAAAAGTCTCACGCAACACTACTCAACCTATAGGGCGCTGTTGCAGTGCTAGTGAGATAATAATAAATATAAATAATAAATAACTAAACATAATGTAGGTATAATAAATAAGGGGCGGTATAGATTCTACACAAATAAACCCTACACAAGAAAATTGCGCACCGATAATTTTACAAAAAAAAATCCTACACTTGGACAAGCAAAATAAAATTAATTAACAATTTTTTACTTTACACAATTAAATCAAACATAATTTTATTCTACACATTCAATTGCACACAGGAAAACCTTACACCGTTAACTCTGCACAAGAAGATTCTGCACCTTATATACTTACTCATAAGTATGTTTATTTATGAAAAAACAGGGTTGCCATGTCGACTGTGTAGAATATAAAAAATTCTAATTAACCGTGGAGAGTTGTGCATCATGTAGGGTTTTCCTGAGTGCAATTTAATTTGTACGGTTATATTTTGTAGTATTTAATCGTTTAGAATTTTTATTATTTGTTTTTAAATTTTATTCCGCATATTATTGTGTAGAATTTTTTTTTTCAGAGTTAACGGTGTAGGGTTTTCCTGTGTGCAATTGAATGTGTAGAATAAAATTATGTTTGATTTAATTGTGTAAAGTAAAAAATTGTTAATTAATTTTATTTTGCTTATTGTACAAGTGTAGGATTTTTTTTTGTAAAATTATCGGTGCGCAATTTTCTCGTGTAGGGTTTATTTGTGTAGAATCTATACCGCCCCACATATTTTCAAAAAGTGAATTTTTCACTAGAATAATAAAAAGATTTATCAGAGAGGGAAGTTGAACTATATAAGCGAAATAACCCCATATTACAATAAGAATAATTTTATAATAAAAAGACCTTGTTATTATAAAATTATTAAAAAACGATTTTAACAAAAAGAAAATAGTAATAATAATAATAATAATGAATAATATGTTATAATAATCTTACCATTAGAATTTGTACAGCATTTGAATCCTCCGAATGCAAATTTTTCTGATCAGACTCATTATCTAGAAGTGGTTGTAGCAATTCCTCATCAGAGGATTCAGGAATCGTAGAGTGAGAATCTGAAGAAGTTTCGGAAATGCAGTTTACAAGTTTCAGCTTCTTCAACATTTCATTTGCAGCCTCCTGTTTAGCAATTTTTTTACAACGTCCAGATCCAACAACTGATTCTTTATCGCAAGTAAGCTTGTAAGTAAATAATGGATGAGGATTTCCCGTTCCATCAAGAATTAATTCATAAGTAGGTACTAACTTTTTTTTAGTCATTTCTTCGTGAAGAATACTTGCTGGTGTCTTTACTTTCTCTTTAATTAGTTCCTATAATTATAAATCAAATATTTTAACTTTTAAATAAATCCTATTATAAGTAAATTTATTTAAATAAAAATTTGGTACTGAAATGTGTTTTTAATACAATCGTTTACTTTTTTTTTACCTGGTAAGTATGTGGTTAAAGACAAGGTATACTCTGCATAAATTTAATCAAATAAGTATTTTTTAAAGAAATATTTATTCCTGAATACGAATATCATAAAAGATTTTTAATATTCCATCGTAAAATTTTCTACAAGTACATTTTTGAATAAAGTAACTGTGGGGCGTGAACTGTTATTGGTTTTTAAGTTAAAATTGTTCGGAAGTAGATATTAGTTTCAGCTCTCCTAGGGGCGAGTAACAAGAACTCGTTTCGCTTCGCGGTCCGATATTGGTGCACGCTTCACACTCCGTTTACATTTATACTCAAAAAAAGTTAGTAGACTTTACTACTTTTCAACTACTCTGTATAATTCAAAAAGTTCACAACTAAATTTAAAAATTGTATTGATTTTCAGAAAGTAGTTAAAAGAACTGAAAATCCAGTTAAGAGAATGAGATCTTTTAGTTGTTTCAGTTTTTGTAGTTGATTTAACTACATTTTGAAGTAAAATGCAAGGTAGAATGGAAATTATTTTTATTAATGCCATTAAAAATGGTTAAATTAATTACACACACACAGAGTTAAAATAAGTACAAAAGTAGTTATTTTAAGGAAGATTCATGTAAACAACCTGTTTTTCAAGAATTTATTACAAAAAACTGAATGAATTTATTAAAATGAGTTAAAATAAATAAGGTTTAAAGGTATTAAAATTAATTTTTTATTTAGCAAAAAAAAGAAATGGCAGTGCTGCAGCTGTTCAAATTTGGCCGTAAATTGGCCGCAAATCTTGTAATTAACGAAAATCAACAAACCAAAATTATTTATTTTCTATACTCTATTATTAATTATTCTCTACAATCATCGATCATTCTTCAAAAATTAAATTAGCTCAGAAATAAAGATACAGGCAATATGCTATGCGCACGCTTTCGGTACATATTGCGCGCATCACTCTGGTGACTCCTTGAGGGCCTTTAGGTCTTTCCTATTTGGGCTTAGGAGTTTAAGAATACACTCTTCAAGCAGTAAATAAATCACGGCACTCGAGTTTCAAAACGTGGAGATTCACAGGAATTAGAAAAAGTTGAAAATTGCGGAAACCTTCTCATTATGATGAGAATGTGAAAAAGTGTTTGCATTGATAGCGCGTGACGCGATTAAATGGATGTTAAAAACGAATACTTTGAAATATTTATTTTTTACTGTTTTATATATTTTAAAATTTTAAGCATAAATAATATTCTAATCATTTTTTTGTCAACAATAATAATAATAAAAATAAATTTTGGCCATTACGCCAAACAAAAGTATTAACATCATTTACCTATTAAATAATAATAATAATAATAATAGATGGAAAGGGGGTACTGTGCTCTCTAAATTTGAATTAGCTAAAATTTCACTGTTTGAATCAGCGAATAAAGTTTTCACTGCAAATCAGCGGATACAGCTAATAAAATAGCGAAACACGAATCGGCGAACGTCGGTCATTTTCGTCGGAAGATAAATTTATTTTTAAAATGGAGTATTTCGCTGATTGAAATAGTTGTTAGTCGCTGATTCGCAGCTGCATACTTATAGCTTTTTCAATCAGCGACTATTCGCTGCCAATCAGCGGATTTTAGCTGATTCAAATTTAGAGAGTGGGAATATCTGTTTATCGAACTGTGCGATGTCTGACATGAATGAAAACGAGCAGTTCATTGAGAATGTAAAAAAAATGTCAGAAAGTTATTTTATTTGCAAACACTTTGATTAAGATTAAGGAATAACATCACCCGAAGCACTGAAATAATAAATGTCTTTTTTTATTAGTTATTTTTAGAAAATGGTACAGTATAATGCTACTGGGATTTTTTTAACATAAAATACATGCTCCAAGCAAAGCTGAAAACGAAAGAAAAAAATTTTTTTATATAGTTTTTAAGTTAGCTTGAAACGTGGTTTACGTTAAGAGGTTAGGTAGGTTTCGGAGGTCCAAAAAAGCATAATTTTACAAATTTTTTTCTAATAAATGAAATGAAATATTTTATTTAAACAATTTACATATCAAAAGGACAGGACATATTTGAAGAGTAAGTTGTTAAATTTCGGTTAAAAAATATTAAAAATTCAGCCATTGAGACTTCGTCTTCTGTGACCCATCAAAAAAAGTTGTTTTGGCCTTGTCAACATATGTCATGACAGATTCATCAGAAATTTAAAAAACCAAATATTTTCTGTTAGTAGATGCCTACAGCTCGTACTTGAACGAATGAAAAAGAAAAAAATTAAAATTGAATTTTTGGCGGAGTTTTGAAAAAAATGCCATTTTTTGATGAAATTTTCACCACGTTTTGGCTAGTAGAATTAGATGTAGTTAAAAAAAATCCTTCGTTCAAGCACGAGATAATGTTATCTTGAAGAAGTGTGCCAAATATGAACAAGATCGGTTTGTAACTTTTCGAGAAATCGATTTGGAATTTTGGGACAATATTCTGGAAATATTGAACTATTTTTTAAGCAAAAAAATAGTTTTTTTTAAAAGTTGAAGCCCACTTAACCCCTTAAAAAAAGCTCTGCAACATTAAACTGTACCGCTTTCCATACTTTAGCCACACCCTGTATATTACTTTTATTTCATTCTCTTTTTGTCATGAAATTATGACGCATCGAAATTAGAATAATTTTGCAAAATTAAATGTTTTAATCGCATAATTCGGGATAACTGTACATAATTTTAGCGATTGACACAGAATGTATCTCTTTTAATCAAATAATTACTCAGATCAAAATACATAAAAAAAAGTCATGTAGTTGCTTTTCGAGCAACAGTATTTGAAATACTGTAGTGTTTTGGAAAACATTATTTATTATTTCAAGCTGTTTCAAAATATTTGAATATATGCAATCAATGCATTTGATATAATTTTTTATTGCTTATATTTATTTAAACAATGTATTTTTATAGAGTTTTAATTTTTGTTTAAATCTATAAATAAGACAAACGATACTACATATAGTTTATGATACAAAATAAGTTTATTTATCGAATATAAATGACGCATTTTCTATTCAAAATGTGTCTTGACTGAAATCGCGCAGCAATAATTACAATAGTCGTATTTTTTAACATCAAAAAGTTATATACTATACACTGCAAGCTCTGCAAAAAGAACAATTGCCCCTAGTGTTTACAATTTTTTACATATATAAGCTAAACGTTATACTATATATTATTATGAATAAAAAGTATATGAGAATTCAAAAATATTCACTTTATGAAAAGCTACTTCATATTAAAAATATCTGATTTAATTATAAATGTATAGTAAAACTTAAATAATCTGTTAAGGTTTATTTAAAAATATTTCAACCCAATAAAAATGTTTTGAATAGTTTAAACTTGCATGCAGGATATTGCTTGGGTTAACAACAAATAATTTAGAATAAAAGACATAAACTAAGTCATGTTTTTTTCTCTCAGTGTAGATTTCTCAAATTTTTATACAAAAATCAAATATGTCATTTTTTTATTAAACTCCACTTAATTATACTTACCATTATAAATTATATATTATTGAAAGTTATAAAAGTATCTTAAAATAAATTTTACTCCTTTGATATAACAAGTATTGTATATTTATTATGGAGAAAGTACTCTCACTAAACTGAATACTCACAGAACCTTAATTGCTGAACCCGACAGTGACAGCCAGATGGCGTCTAATTTTACTAGTTATGGGAACAACTGTGTCAGTCTTAACAGATGCGATGAAACAAATTATGGACTCGACCTATCAAAATTATGGTACATTATAGTACGCAGCGCGAAATTCAAATTTAAACTGGGATAAATTTTATTAATACGGTTACTCAAGAATAAAATTTTTTTATTTTTATACATTTTTAAATAAATATTAATAAGTTAAAAACATTATGCTCTTGTTAATTAAAATTTTTAAAGAAAAAAAATTCAGTTCCGTAGATTTTCAAATTTTTAAAATAAATAATAATAAATTAACAGTATTATGCTCTTATTAATTGATAGTTGTTAACATAAAACATTTATTGGCAAAACTTTTAAAATTAGTTCAACTTGAGTTAAAAAGTATCTCTTAATCTAATATAAAATCTTAAAATTGAACAAATTGAAAATTCTAATTTGAATCAAACGTAATATCACATGTTTCCTCATTTGCAGACTGACTACCATTAGATTCCTTATTTTCATTCCAATTTTTTGTTGTGTTACTCTAATACCCACACAGCACATAATATTTCCTAAATATTTCTGAAATATTTCATTGAAATTTTGAAATATTCCAATGCGAAGTCCTTGAAATATTACTGAAATTAGGGAAATGTCCGCCTATAAGAAATATTGCCGTGTAATTTTGCTGAAATATTTCATTAAAATATTGTAGAAAATTTCCAACTTAAATGATGCGCACTAGTCGATCTCAGTTTCTATGGCCTGTACAGCTGCGCAGTAGTTTTTTATTTTCCAGGATCCTAAGGTGTTGAACATGTTGGAAAGTAACGATTGATTTCATATTTTAAAAAAGTTTCTAACTTTCTTTGAAATGTTTCCTGAATATTGCAGTCTTCATATGTAATATTGCAGGAGTATTAAAGTGTAATATTCCAGCAAAATTGCACGGCAATATTTCTTATAGGCGGACATTTTCCTGTTTTCCTCAACATTTCATGAACCTTGCATTGAAATATTTCAAATATTTCAATGAAATATTCATGAAATGTTTAGGAAATATAATGTGCTGTGTGGGTAGAGCGTTCCTATTGGTTTCACGCTGTTTTACTTTACATTGATGCTGGCATGTAACTAGAAAGTTACTAAATGCATGCACAGTGCATGCATGAGATAGTATGACCGTACCCTGACGATCATCCACGCGTAATTTATTAATAAAACGTTCGATTTTTTTTTAAAATAATGATTGACTCCAAATTATGGTAAGCGACAAACTATGGATGGTACGTGGTACAAAGGGTTAAATTATGGTACGATTACACAATTATCGTACGGTCTGGCAACACTGAACTGTGTTGTTATCCATAAACGTAGCTTGAGGGTACGGTCATGGAGCGTCTCCAATAGGAACCTAATGCTGACTCTACATTGGCTGCGCAAACGTGTACGTGTACGTGAACGTGCTGACGTCACCCATTTGATTAACATTGTGACGTCAGCACGTCGCGTTCACGTACACGTTCATTGTAGAGGCGACTTGAATAACATTGTGACGTCAGCACGTTCACGTTCACGTACACGTTTGCGCAGCCAATGTAGAGTCAGCATAAAGTCGGTTCTCCAATGGGCACGTTTGTAAGCGAACGTGAACGTGTACGTGCTGACGTCACAATGTTCTGCAAATGGGTGACGTCAGCACGAAACGTATACGTTCACGTACAAACGTGCCCATTGTAGAACCGACTTAAGAGCATTCGTAAACGTAGACGTATGACGTCACCAACGCTAAACTACATGGGAACCAATGCGACGTGTACGCAACGCAAACATTTAGGAACCTATTGGGAATCGCAGAGCTGCGATACACCATCTGGTAGTGTTTTAAAATTCTCGGTAAAATTGAAACCTGAGAAGGTAAGAAAGAAAATTGCGGTAAATTACCGAAAAAAGAGAATTTATGAGAATATTCATTTAAGTGATTGATAATTGCCTTTTTTAAATTTAAATATGTATTTTTATAGTATGTAAGTTATAAATAAACGACCGACATGTTATTAAATGAATAATTTGAACAATGAATATAATAGACTGTAAGGGTGCAGTCCCATGGAGCAGATTAGCAGAATAGATTTCAGCCAATCAAAAGTTAGTCTCTCGCGGCAAATTTTGCATTTCCGTTAGAGACTGTTTTTTTATTGGTCAACGTCTAATCTGCTAATCTGCTCCATGGGACTGCACCCTAATTTTCTCTGTGTTCTTACTGACAAGCAAGATGACAGTCGGGTATATATGCCTGCACTTTTATCCTTGTCTAACACGTGCGTCGTCATGGCAACATGTGTGTTAGACAAGGATAAAAGTGCAGGCATATAAATGTACCTGATTCAATATAATAATGTAATATTATATCAATATTAATATATATATTATATATTGTAACAAAGATATTTTTCATTATAATAATAATTGTACAGTCAGGAACATATGTCTGTACAGTGATGGGTACGTATAATACATGACGTATAATACGTGGTTTTCTACGTGTATAATACTACGTATATTACGTGCCAAGTTTTCTACACGATGTATATTACATTTGATCACGTGATTTAAGAGCGGCAATTTTAAATTCTTCATTAAAATACATCATTCATTACTTTACACTATTGAAAGAGAAAGTTGTTAATATAAACAAAATTTACGTAATTATTAATTATTTTAACAATTATAAAACAAAATTTTTAATTATTGAAATGTTTTTATATCGGTTTTATTTCTAAGTTGGTTTTACAGATAAGAGTGAACACCGGGCCACGTGCATAATAACATAACCTATATTCTAAGTATTATATTGTCAGTCTAGTCGTTTGGTATCTCCAAAAATAAACAATTTTTAAATAAAAACTTTATAAACAATAACAAACAATTATAATAATACGCTTATAGCCAGTGTTTTTCATAATGTTTTGACAAATTAAACATTTAGCAACATTTTTATCAGTGCCTAGCTCTTTCATCCGCTCAAATTCCATTTTTTTCCCAGGGCAAACCCTCTTTAAAAGATTTTCTTTTACTTTTTCTGACCATTTCTATTTTATTTTAAGACTTTAATTTAAATAGAATGATAAGAAAAATTCGTTATGGCAAAAATCAGAGGATCATATATAGATGTCAAAATGTCAGTGGTTTTCTACATGGTTTTATACATTTTATACGTATATTACGTCGAAAACGTATTATACGTACAAAACTTCGTGTAACGCGTCACAACCCATCACTGTGTCTGTACTTTTATCCTCGTCATACACGTTGTCATGACAACGCACGTGTCAGACAAGGATAAAAGTACAAGTAAAAATTCTCATAAATTCTCAGAGAAAAACGATCCGGTAATTTACCGGTAAATTACTGTAATCTTCTTTCTCTTCTTGACGTAATTTACTGTCTTTAGAACACTAGTGTGAACTATAAAAAGTTTGTTCGATGACATTTACTAATATACTAATATTACTAATATCTTATAAAATTCATTTCTTCTTCTTCACATGAAATTGAAATGAAAAGCACTGACGCAATAGATAGCAACAGAATCCAACGGAATTGTCATATTTGAGAATGACCCTTCAAAAAATCCACTTTCCACAAGTGGCACGAACTAACGAACTTGCCACAAGTTGGACGGACTTCGTGCCACTTGTGGTACGAAACACCGCCACTTGCGTCCGAGACGCTCGTGAGCCGTACAGTACAGGCTTCCGTATGTACCTGACGCAGTTGTGCTTAGGTCTTTATTTGTTCATGTGAATGAAGAAAAAGTTGTAGAAGCAGCTTAATCTACTAATCTGCTCCATGTGCTTTCATTCAGATATTTATTTTTTTTCTCATGTGTCTTCGCCTGTCCAAAGGATTATACTTTTTTTATAAAAAGAATAGAGAATAATATAATATGCTTCTAAAAGTGTCAAATATGTTTAATTTCAAAATGGTACAACAAATATTATTAGATGAAGAAAAGTATATATCAGATGTGTTTCAAAAAATGGCTTTACCGTTTACAGAGAAAGGTAAAAAGTGTTTTCTAAAATATAAAGTTGGTCTCACTTAAATCTCAAATTTTCAGTATCTTATAATAAAATTAACTCCAAATAAAACATTATTTTTTATTATACTACATATAGCAAAAAACCATTGACCATTTAAGAGGTTAAAGTAAAATTCAAAACGAACAGCTTTAGGATCATAACCCCAAAACAAAATAGTTATAAGTCAAGGAAGTTAGTAAACAAATTTTTGTCAGAGTAATGTCTGAAAATTTAATACAAAGTGCTTAAAAAATATTTTAAACATATTTTTCTGTCACTATCAGTTTTTGTAAATTTGTGTAACAATATTTTTGTAGAATAAACATTTGATAGCAAAGAAAAATTTCGGAATATAGGCCTCGGATTATACGACTTTTTTTGACTTTTTATGTTTTTTAAAAAAAATTTTAAACCAAATACGTTTTTTTAGTATACAATGCAGATCTTCTTTATTTCAATTATTCATCAAATTTTTAACTAAAATTCTTTATTAAATTAATTTATTTTAATAATTTTAATAAAATTATTCACAATTTCAATTATCTTAAAGTATTTTTCAATTAAAATTTTTATAAAAATTTAATAATTTTCAAAAAATTAGCAACTAAAATTACCAAAAAATTTTAATTAAATTATTTTAAAAAAATTTAATTTAAAAGCTTGTAAAATTTAATTATTTTTAAAATTTTCCATCTAAAATTTATTGAAATTTAATAATTTCAATTATAACTTTCCTGAAATTTAATTATTTTTAATGATTTTAATAATATTCTTCGAAAATTCAGCTATCTGAAACCATTTTTCATTTAAAAAGTTTTCAAATTATTGTATTTTTGCCTGCAATTTCGAATAAATTTTTTAGTAACATAAGTCATCAAAAATTTTTAATTAAAAATCACTTGAAGTCAATTAATTTCAAAAATCTAAATTGTAAATCTTTGAAAATTCAATTACTTTTAAAAAATTTTATCTAAAATTAGTTGATAAATTATTTTTAGTTCTGTAAAATTTAATTATTGTCTGAAATTAAAAAAAATCTTTTAAAATTCAATTATTTCTAAAAATGTCAACTTTAACTCGTCTAAAATTATTTTTAAAAAAATTTTCTTTAAAAATCTGTAAAACTTGATTAAGTATTGCCTGAAATACTCGATGGTATTAAATTTTTTTTCACATATAACCTGACAAATAATGAATTAACCTTTACGAGTATATACAAAATCGAATAAATATTTATTTTTCACATAAAAATATTATAGAACATTGACATGAAACAATTTTACTTATTTAACTGTAAGTTTATAGTTTATACAAAAAATAACTAACCTATAAAAGTTTTGCATCACTGACTTTTAATAAACAAAAACTTAACTAACTTTATTTTCTATTTTTTTTTTTTTTTTTGTTCGAAGCATCGACAAATGGTTGGTACATCTGCTAAAAAACTGACTGTACCAATTTTCGAGTCAATACCTCGAAAAATGGAGCTAAGATAAAATATGGAACTAGATACCGATGATTTACTTTTAAAAAATATGAAAAATTTATTTTAACAAATATATTTATATAGAAACTAAATACAGTTCTTCTACAATGGTATAATAATAATTTAATACAAACAAAGTAATTAGAAATACATTTAATTTGTTTTTTTAAAATTCGACTCCCGTCAACTTGAATTATTAAGAAAATGTCGAATCGAGTAAATTTAACAGCAGTGAATTATAATTATATTATAAGAGAATAATTATTATAGTGCCATCGATATTTAATTTGATGATGGGGTAAATATGTAATTGAAAATATAAGGTTAATTTACAAATTATTTGTGTTTTTAAATTTTCTACAATATACTATTTATCTAAAAAAGAAAATTACGACCATCGACAATTGGTGTATCATCGGTAACTGGTACACTTACCCTACATATTTTCTTATTTTTCATGAAGATTTTGATAAATATGTTTTTGAGATTTGTCCATATATACCTATATCAATAGATTCCTTTTTTAATATAAATCATTTTTTCTCATGATTCATTTTTGTTTTTTTTATTAACATTTACAAGTTAGAAAAATAAAATGATATATGATTTTCATACATAGAAAAAAACTGAACTGCAGCAAAAATGATCTGGTTTGACTCATTTTGAGTTTTTAGTGAATTGTTTCAAATTGAACCCGGTTACGTTCATTTTGAGTTCAAGATTAATGTTAAATTATCGGGGACAAACAAATAATTACTTACAAAAATATTATATAAAATAATTGTTCTTAATAAACAAAGGTATAGCTCTAAAGACAACTTTAGTTCTTGTAGTTGATTTACACAAATTAACGAAATTAAATAATAGAATTTTCTAGATTAGGAATCCTGTTGACGTTGTTGACTTCATTAACAACTGTGTTAGTGCCAATCATATAACGCAAAAGTATCTGAGCGCAAAAGGCGCTTAATTTAAAAATTGTTAAAATAAAGTGAATATGTAATGAAAACAATATAAATATGAAGAAAATTTTCATATTTTCAAAAATTTTATTACACAAGAATCAAATACATAAATATCATCCAAGTATAATGACCTTAACCCTTAACTGGCACCATGTAGAACAGAGCATTTTTTCGATCTCAAATTAATTGAATGCGTAGCTTTTCAATATTTTTTATATTTTAATATATTAGTTTGACATATTCTGAGTAATTTTGTAAGTTTTTTGATACAACTAATTCGATACAAAAGAATAAAGTACCATCAAACATTAATAATTCTAATTTTTAATTTTAACCTAAAAAGTCATATTTTATTCTGCAAAACAAATACCTTTTATGCAAGTCCTGCTGTTGTAGTAATTTTTTCCTTAAAGAATAAATGAAAGTAAAACTGGCACCTAGTTATCAGCCCCAAGTTAATTTTGAAAAAAATTATGTTAGCAATAACCTTAAAAGCACCCTTACCAAAAAATATGACATGGAAAAAAATACACTCGTGGATGACAATTTAAAAAATAAATAAAATTTAATTTAATAATTTAATTTAAAATAAAATAAAATATCTAATAAATACAAATTTTTCAAATGTTTCCGCGCTGTGCGGTTGGCTCTGGGGTGCTATTTTCGAAATGAGTTCCGTGCACGAATCGAAGACTTTCGAATAACTTTGTCGAAAACTGTATTCTCGAACTGTTCACTAGGCGTTCGTAGACGAAACGATTCGAGTGAAATACAACGAGTGGTCTTAACCACTCGAAGCAACAGTTTCGTGTTCGAATTTTGGTACTGCTCATGCGCAGTAGTATTATTTAATAATATTATGTACACATATTAAAAGGGATTCAAAGTTTCGAATTGTTATAAGTGTAAGAAGTGTAAATAATTATAAGTTAAATTTCATTTAATTTCTAAATATAAGATAAGTTTGACGTGGACGTTAATATTTGATCCGATAGTAGATAAAAAAAATTTAAACCTACATAACCACAAAAAACTTAAATAAAGGTAAAAGGAATTTGAACTAATAATTAAAAAGTAATAAAATTAAAAATTGGAAATAAATTTTTCATTACTTATTTTTATCAAAAACTGAAATGATATTTATATTGACTAATTTTTCTTTCGTTTATGCGTATTATATGTAAAATCAATTATAGAGTTTCATTCATAATAATAATAATAATAATAATAAAACATCATGTCGAAGTAATTTCATTGGTTCAAAAAAATTACACTGGAAAGTCACTAAAAATAAACGACGGCAACACTGTACAACCTATTCGTCTACGAACGATCGTCGAACGAAGTTTCGAATGGTGCTCGAGAATACGGTTGTTGCTTCGTGCACGAAACTTACCCATCGAATTTGCTCGCATACGAACAATATTCGAATGATTTCGAGAATAGGACCCCTGGACTTTAGTTCGCTCAACGCCACATAGGGAGGGCGAACATCTCTTCTCGCAGTTGAGCTGCCACTAGATATGTATATATAAGAAGTGAACCAAATTTTTTCTCGTTGAAATTTTTTTCTGCTCGATGTCTTTCTTATTTTTAAGGATGTGAGACAAACTTTTTTTCGGAAAATATGATTTCACTAATACTGTGATAACCATTTTTTTATTTTAATTGAATAATTAAAAATAAAATGATATTAATAAAAAAATTTCTTTTTAAATAATTGATTTAAAAAAACTTTTTAATATTGGCTTATGGTCCGTTACTCGTGTCAGTTTCCCATTAGGCTTTTATAAATAAACATACTATTTTTAAATTAATACCTTTTTATTTAGTTCGTTAAATTACCTTTATTATACATAATAATGTTGTCATTTTTTAAATGACCTCAGATTAAATTTTTGCGCAAAAATATTCAGTACTGGCTATACAATACACTTTTGAATACGTTGGGTCCAGCAGACTCGTTGTGTCATTTACGTTTGAACGCGGAATTGTGACAGTTAAGAGTTAAACTGAAAATATCGATATTGCAATTTTTTAAAAAATCAACTCACGTTAAATAACTATATAATTTTATGTTTATATAATTAATATCGTTGTACTTTAGTCCATTTGACGCTAAATTTAATAAACTTTCAAATGTTCTCTATTTGACAGCTTTAACTGCAGTTTTTGCGGAGATATTTTTATTTAAAGTGAAGCTAGTAAATACATATTTTCAAGTAATCCATCCAACTGTACCTACTGAAATTTTTTTATCCCATTGTAACTGTAAAAATTGTTAAAAAAAATTGTAAAATCAAAAAATTAAATTTTCACTGTATGATTTATTTTTTATGAATTTAAAATGTTTTTAACTTTTTATAAATTTTAGATTCTAACGAGGACAATGAGGGCGAAAACAATGAGGAGCGGCAGTTTATGGAAGGTTCGTATCTTCATTTATTTTATGTGTTAGTCTAAAATGTGTTATCTCTTCTACTGAATAAGTTTCAATGATATTATTAAAGATGTTGGTTTATTCGAATTATTATTATTATTTCTCATATAGGAAGCATTGTAATACAAAAATTTTTCGAACTCGATTTTTTGATGTATCATTATGTTTTTCGATTTCAGGAATAATACAAAAATTACATTTTTAAAAAATGTCGTTCTGCGCGTGGGTACTGATCGATTGTTTCAAACATTTTTTTTAAATACTGTTTTAAATTTAAAAAATGTTGAGCCTGGTCCGATCATGGGCAAACAATTTTTTAAATATTTTCGGAATTTTGAATTTTTTAAAAATATTTCTGGTTTTTTTAATACTACGTACGTTTATGTATTTTGGTGTGCTGATTATGAAAATCATAGTGACAATATCCGAAAATTTGATTTTTATGTCGAAAACAATAAAAAATCGGACAAGTGCGAGTTACACTCGCATTGAAACCGAGGGTTCCGTACCCATAAATAAACCTATTGAAATACTTTATACTTGTATTATATTTGTTACACGCAGCAACAATCCCAAAAATAATATGGCATACAAATTTTTGATTTTACTAATAATGAAATATTTTTGTATTCTATTTCTGTTAATAAACAAAAATATATCCAAAATACATATTAATAATTATAATTAAATTTGAAATCAGTATTTATACATTTTGAATAGGAGAAATAATAATTTTCTTATACAATATGAAATAATAATTTATTATTTAATTTAAGAAATATATTTTTTATAACAAATAAATAATTATTTTTTCATGTTCGAGTGTAGGGCGAATTATATAATTAGAACGCCCCTGATGAAATTAAGCCGTGAGGTGTCATGGCTACTGCTGCAGTATAAGGAAAAATAGTTTTTCACTATTTTCCTTATAACTTCTTTATTTTTTACAGAATTAATTCCAAACTTTTGGAAAAACTTCTTTAATATGTAAGGAAAAACTTTGTCGCGAGAAGTTTTTCCAGAATGAAAATTCCCTCGATAACTTTTTCAGTAGAAGGTTGAAAAACACATATTTTCAAAATTAAAACTTTATTATGATTTAACATTAAATAATAACAATTTTCTTGATTTTTTTAATGATTGTCGTCTTTAATAGTATAAACTGAATATAATGCACAAAATTTCAAAGAAATCCATCAATATTTGGCGAAATCACGACGAGTTATGTTTTAAAAGTCCATTAAATTATCGTAAAAAAATTTTCTACTTTTTTGCTTCTATTAATTTCAATATTCGTTTTATAAAAAAATCTCTAAGGAAAAAAAGGTGCGGATTTTCATTTTCTACAGGATGGCGTTTTTAAAAAATTTGAATTTTATTTTTTTCCATTTTTGGATCACCTGACTGGTCACAAGGCGGCTGCCTCAAGCGTAGGTCTCCTTATAGAATCGGGGTCCTCAATTCATCACTAAATTAATTATTTTGAATAATTTTAATGAAATTCTTTACAAATTCAATTATCTTCAACTATTTGTCAAATTGAAGAATTCATGAACTATAACTCTCCTGAAATTCAATTATTTTTAATGATTTTTATAATATTCTTCGAAAATTAAATTATCTAAAACCATTTTTCGCTTAATAAATTTTCAAATTCCATTTTTGTCTGCAATTTCTAAAAAAAATTTCAATAACAGAAATCATCAAAAAATTTTAACTAAAAATCATCATTATTTCTCAAAATTTTAACTTTAACTCTTCCGAAATTCAATTATTTTTAATAATTTTAATATTTTTTATAAAAAATCAATTATTTAAAAAGTTTCAAAAAAAAATTGAATTGTTGTCAAAAATTTAAAATAAAAATAGATTTGTTGAAATTTGCATAAAATTTATTTCAAATTTAAAGAATTTATTTAGAAAGTCCTACTTAAATAAAATTTTGATTTGTCTTAATTCGATTCTGAAATATTCGAAGTAAATTTTCGTGACAATATTTTTGTAGAATTATTCTCATTACAGAATTAATATAACGAATTTAATATCTAATAACATTAGTTATTTAAAGTAAAATATTTGTTAACTAATTAATGGCTTAAACCACTCTAGAACGTCCTAAAGAGACATAATTTTAATAATTTTGTTCAAGAAAAGTTTAACAGTAATAAAAAATATGTTTATATATATCTTTATTAGGTAGACTTTAAAGAGAAAAAAATACTTTATAAATTTTATTTTTTTAAAAAAAATATGAGGTTTACATGTACGTGATAGAAACCCATTCTTAGGAGAATCACTTCGCGATCGAAAAGGTTTTTGCTACAATTTTCATCTTAGAACAAAAATCAAATTTTTTTCTTTTTTTACATCTCAAAAGCTACAGAAAGACGTAGGGGATTTTTTTGATCGATTTTTAGACACTAAATTGTTTATAACTTTAAAAATATGCAACTTAAAAAAATCCATACGCCTTTCTCTAGGTAATGTTATTAAAAAGCTACAGTTAAATTTTTAGGTAAAAAGTTGTTTTGAGAAAAACGCATTTAAAGTTTTACTTATGATTTGTTGGATACACCTTTAATTTGCAATACCTGTGCTATATAATCAGTGAAATTTCAATGACAAGTTGTGAAAATTACTGAAAATTAGTTAGATTTTTTTTGATGGAGTAACACTGAAAAAAAGATAACGTTGCGTCACTTTTTCGAGTCTGCCAGCGCGACTCAGCTTTGAGGACTGTTGGGAGCCTTTCTGGGGCGCGCAACGCTCCCCAAACTTGTAAACCTCAATCTGGGGCGTGCTACGCGTCCCAGAAACGCACACAGCACACTTTAAGAGGCACACAGTAGTCCTCAAAGCTGAGTCGCGCTGCAAGACTCGAAAAAGTGACGCAACGCTACCTTTTTTTACATTCTCATTATAAATGAGAAAGTATTCATTTTGGTCGATTTTGCCTTTTTTTCTAATTCCAGTGAATCTCCACGTTTTAAGACCTCCTGATGCCAAAAAATAGGTTTTGAAAACCTGTCCGTCTGTTTGTTGTCTGTAGACACTTTTTTTGTCCTCACGATAACTTGAACAAATCTTAACGAATCGCTTTGAAATTTGGTATACTCTTTTAAAATGTAAAAATGAAGCCTTAGTTCGTTGGACAGACTAATCTTCCCAAAAATTAAAAAATTATTCAAATTTTGAATTTTCAGAAAATTCAATTTTTCTCAAATTTGAAAAAACAATTTTTTTTATTTTCCTTTAAAATGTCGACAGTATGAAGTATGAGTGTGTATTGTAAAGATTGGGGACTATTGCACAGTCCTTTAAAACTAATGCATAAGCAGGTGTGGTCAGATTAATTAGTCGCTATTCAAAGTGATAGCACGGTTAGTAAATTGTCTTCCAAAAAGACTCAGTGAAGCTTTGGAAGGATTGATTATCTCCAAGTTTTTGTACTTTGCTTGTTAAATAAATAAAGTAGAGTTTGTTCTCAGTTGAGTAACCAACTCACAAAAATAATATTATTAGTTGTTTCTTACGGCGACAACATAATTGGTGGCAGCGGTGAAATATTTAAAATTATTTGGAAGTTCATCCAAGTTTTAAATATCCAGAACCAAGAACTAGTTCCAGATAAACAAAGTATTAATTCAAAGTGAACGAGAGAATCAACAAAAGAGATATCCAGAGAGTTATCCAGATCTACAAAGACGTATCCAGAGAGTTATCCAGTTCTACGAAGTGTTATACAGAGTGTTAACCAAGCAGCGATCCAGATATCCATATCTACGAAGTGTTATCCAGAGTGTTAGCCAAGCAGCGATATAGATATCCAGGTCTACAGAGAGGTATCCAGAGAGTTATCCAAGTATACGAAACAGAATTCGAGATTTTCCAGTACTACGATCCAGACCAACATTCAAAAGCAACATTGAAGTAAGGTATATAAAACAAAACTACGAATCTTTAGAACAAGAGTATAAGTCCACTTTACGTACGTTGAACGGCGACCTTCATAGGGTGTGGCTAAGTTTGTTTTAAAGCGTTGGTATACTCCGTGATTTTATCAGTATTTCCATCGTCAATAAATAAAAAAAAACAAATTTCATATTTTTGTGTACTCCTTGTAGCAGGATTGCAAGAAATGAAATTTTAAATTAGAAAACGCGAACGGTTATAAAATAAAATTGTACGAAACGATATAGGAAATTTATTAAATCAAACTGGATTTAAATTCATTTAGAGAAAGTAGGGAAAACGAAACTATAGACACAGACAGTTCATCCCCTTCAATATCACTGACTGACAGACCTAAATTAGACAATATTCTAAAAATCATGCCAGAAACATCAACAAGTTCAAATGACCTTTTTCAAACAATTCTTGCAAAATTGGAAAGATTTGAAACAAGATTGTTAGCTATGGAACAACCAGTTAGAAGAGAGGAAGGTTTACCCTTAAATGAGAATCAATTAAACAGCGATCATGAAGAATTAGAAGAAGTTACAGAATATGATTTTGGAAAAAGTATAAAATTAATACCAGAATTTAACGGGAGCGGTTTAGAAAACTTCATTCATTTACTAAGATTGTCTAAAAAGAAAACAAAAAGAAATGAAAGACTAACATTACTTCATGCAATAATTGCACAAAAATTAGTAGGAAAATCGGCAAACACAATTAGAGCCGATGCAGTTAAAACATTTGCTGATTTTTTTTGAAAGATTACGAATTTTATTTGGAGAAAAGGATAGTTTAGAATCACTTCAAAGGACTCGCGATTCATGTATAATGGGCACAAATGAAGGTTTAGAGTCATTCACCTCAAGATTTATGCAGTGTCAGGATAAAATCAGGCAGTCTATAGATAGTATGAATATAACACCTGAAGAAACTTTCGTAAGACAGGAAATAGAAACAAGTGCAAGCGTCAGCACATTCTTAAGAAATATACGTGAAGAATTTGAAATTAGAATCCGTCCTCAGAAACCGAA